TAATTTTAAAAATTTATTATATAATCTTGATCACAAAGTTTCTAATAATAACCCTATCACTTCTTAAATCTAAGCAATAAACATGAAATTACATAAAGAAGAATAAAAGATGGATATATTTATATCGAGTATTACCCAAGTATATGCAATTTTTGATTCTGTTGCTTGCAAGGTAAGTTATTAATCTAATAACTTCTTTATTTTAACAAGATATCAATATCTGACCAAAAAACTGAGATGCGGCAAACATATTATAAGAAATTTAACTCAAGATTATCATGAAAATCTGTAAAGACCCGTTTATATAAGCCTTAAAAAGGTTAAATCGTCATTGATCGATAATATATCTATCGATTACAGTAAAAAAAAAAATGTAAATACCTTTAGACCAACATGGCTTTCTTCTAGATTCTTCTTTGGAAAGGTTGCACTCACACAACTTTGTCATCTTCAGCAAAAGTTATGCTTATCGACACTTTCATCACAATAATCGCAATACTTCTTATTAACCCGATATCACTAAAAGTGTTTAAAAGTATTGTCACTAAACGTTCGTTTCATATAATTGTCCAAAATAATTAACAACGACCACAATTAATGACCAACACGACCGGCTTGTCTAAAACCTAGCCGAATACCGGAATTACGTCACTTGCACTACTCTAATTTCTTTCCTTCTATATTAATAACAAATCTGTTTTGACCAATGCGAAAGAAATCAAGTTATCTTTAGTCAACCTTGAAAAGGGCATCGCGTTTAAAAATTAGCGGGTACACACGATAATCTGATGCGATTAAACTTTCATTCAAAACAATGTTAAGATAGTGCGATAATTACGATTATGGCTCTTAATATTAACAAGGGGTGGATAATAACATTCACACCATTAATTTAACGAATACAATCGCTAACAATTTCCTTGTCAATGTCTTTGTTTACAACTGTAACATCAGTGAGCTTTAATTGTTGTTAAAAGTTAAAAACAGCACACTAAATTGCTAGATTTTTTTAAAAAAATATGGTTAAGTTAATATTAATCCCAATATTACAATATATTAATTGTACTATTATCAATTAACACAAATCCATTTTAATACCAAAAAGACAAGGAATGGTAGGACATAGTGTAGGGACATGAACCATTAATAGGAGATATACTCGTAGCAGAAGCAGGAATAAAGAGGAACAGAGAAAGACCTATATTAGTTTACTGTTCATAAACAGTTAAAGATATGGAATATTCCAGTTTTCGATAACCACTTGAAAGAAACGGGTAAAGTGCGTCTTAAAAATTTATTGATTAAAATAAAATAAAGAATTTTTGTACAACAAAAATCTTTAACAATCATGTAATGAAATTGCCATACAAGTATTACTTTCGTGTTTGTCTTTTATGGGAAAATATTGCAAATATATATAATTTATTGCTGGACTTATCTATTCAAAAACAGATACATCAAAAAGTAATGAGCACACAATAACCGATTAGTTAAAACACTTAAAATTAAGTAGGTATATTTAATGTACAATTTATTGTCAATCAATTATTATCAGTTAGTAGTAAAAAGGAATATATTATAAAAAGTACTATTTATTTGGCTGAAATGATGCTTTCCTAACTCAATCTTCTAACTAAGCAAATTAATTAGTACATAGTATCATATTAACATTTATATATCATATGTAAGGATACTAGTAAAAAATTACAACTGTTAAGGAAACGTACACTATTTTACTCCATTCAATTATTAAATCATCGTTCATTCATTTTTTCGTTGATTTTACAACTTCTTAATACAAGAAAGAATTTATCAAGTTTTAAAATTTTTGGTGTTTAATAATACTACTAGGTATATGCCTACTAACAATTAATTTTCAAAATCCAGAAAACTAAAGAAATTCTGGAAATATTGATATCTTAATTCATTCAAGCAAATGTGAGTCAGCCCCCACCCATTCATTTTAATTCATTTTGAGGATAAATAGGTATCATAAGATAATTAAATTTATAGGCTTTATTGATAGTATAAAAAATTTTCTTTCATTTATAATGCTGTATGCACCATAAAAAATAATTTCTTTATTTATTTTATCTGCCAATTATGGCGTAGCATGCCAGAAATTTTCTCTTTACCAAAAACAAAACTTAGTCAAAAAGCATTTCTTTTCTTTGGCTACCTTAAATGAATTATATACAATTTTGCTCATCATCTTGATTTCTTTGTAAATACTATTATTTTGATTCAAATTTGAGCAGATAATAAGCATTTGTCTTTGCTGTTAGATATTTTGTAAAAAATGTACATATTTTAATTCATGGAATTCCAGTATCCTTATTAAACGTTATCTATAATATATATTTAAAAATAGCTTTAATTAGTTCTAATTATGAGAATTTTAAAGAATTGGAGCTAGCATCCATTTTGGAGTAAGTTTTATTTCTTTTTGCATTCACTTTGACCTCTTTAACTTTTGAAGCAAACCTTAGTGAGTTAACAGACTCCGAATAACATTCTTCCATTGGAGAAATATTGACAAACATGAGTGTTTTCGAATTGCCCCCAAGGCAATTCTGAAGTAAATGAGTCAATTTAGAATTTCTGTATGGTATGTGTGCATCTTTATTGTGCAATGCAAGCATTACTTGTCCCAATGTGGACAAGCTTTTATTAATATTTTTGGTTTCAGTCAGTCTTTCGCTCGTTTTTGCACTTTCTGATCCAGCAAGGTCCACCAAGTTCAAAGAGCCACAAAGGATAATGCTACTGTCTTCTTGAACGCCTTGTATATAAATTTTGGTAACGGCATGTGACCTGGAACTGTGCTCATTGAAATTTGTAGCTGCAACAGCTCGATTTTTGTTTGCCAGTTGCATCAAGTCCATCAAATCTTCGGCACAATTGACATCCAGTATTGTTAAATTCTTTACTCCGATAGATTTTCCATCATTGTGCTGAATATCAAGGGATTCTTTACTCTTTGGATCCAAAAGGTCTTTTATGGTTTCATTATAGATTTCTAAAAAGCTTGCTTGAATGGTGTAGGACCATCCCTGACACTGGAGATGCTTTATAGCATAAAAAATACGTTCAACAGCTAGGGGGATCATTCCCTTTGATTCATCTGAATCACCTCCTTGCATAGTGTATGTTTTCCCTGATCCTGTTTGCCCATAAGCAAAGACACAAATATGATACCCATCAAGTGCTGACTGCACAAGATGAGCTAAATCTTCAAATACCTCTTTTTGAGTGCTTTCAGGTCCAAACACTTTATCAAAAGTGAATTCTAATTTTGCATCAGTTGGTTTTCCACTTATAGAAAGACTTTCTTTGTTTTTTCTTATTTCTATGGTGCATTCATCCAGGAAACTGATGTTACAGAGGAGACTTTCTTGTTCGGTTTGTGATGCTGGTCTCACTCTGCAGATAACTCGGATTTTACCCTTTAAATCTTGAATGGTGTTGTGCATAGATCTCAATGTCTCGCCATTTTTCCAAAGATATGCCTTATAACTGTCTACAGCATTTTGTAGTTGTTCGATTTGAGACATTGCACTGCCAAGTTTAGATTTCAAATCTAAATTTTCATTTGAAACATTTTTATAATCTTCAGACAGTTGTTTGAAATCACTGTTCAATATTTCATGAGCATCACAAACTTCCTTATATTTTTTTTCTAACACTTGTATATCATTAACTAAACTATCTACTTTTGATAGTAGTATATTTTTTTCAGAGTTTATAATTTTATTCTCACCAATTTTCTTTTCCATATCACATTGAAGAATGCTGTGCTTGTTAAATAAATCTTGATAATTTTCTTTTATAGACTCATTGTCCGTAAGTTTATCTTTGGCTTCTTTGTACATTGTTTGAAGGTTTGTGTACTTTTCTGTTAGAGCATTAAATCGAGCTTTATAATCATATGGTGGAATTCTTGCCGGTTTTGAGACTTTTGGTTTTACTTCTTCTGTTACTTTTGTATCAGCAGCACGTTTGAAAACTTTTGTTTGCTGTGTATTATTTGTGACATTAGTAGGCTTCATTACAACTGGTTTTTTCACTGCCAATTTTTTCAAATTAACGCTTTTAACATTTGTTCTTGATATTTGTGATGTTGACACGGATCTCCTCAACTTTTTTGCTGCTGGTGGTCCAGTAGTAAGATTAACAGTTGGTTTTGGGTCTATTTTTTTTCGCAGTCCATCCAGAGGTTTAAAATTTGTAATTGAAGAGAGATCAGTGTAAGACTTTGATCGTCTTTTAAGACCAACGTTAAGTCCATTTGATGGAAGAGGCCCCAAGACTTTTCTTGGTAATGCTGCTGTTACTGATGTTGATGCTTGTAATTTCAAGGAGGCTAGTTTGCTACTATTAGGAAGTGGTATTCTCGTCTTTTCTATAGACATTTTACCTATAAAAACATACAGATACAGCAAATGTACTTCTTTAATTAGTACATAAACATTTTTTAACAAACAGGTTAACTTTCTGTTACAAAACAGACACAATTTGAGAAACGATTGAGGGAGGAAACTTAATAGACAATAACTTAGATATAAATTGATGTATTAGTGAATAAAAACTTACCTGTTATAAGTTACATAAACTGTAAAAGTTATTTCATTAACCGTTTACAAAGCATAACCGTTACCACCAACACACAATTTCAAACATGAATTCGAAAATTATCGTGCATTGTCGGATATTGTCGATCATAAAATCATAGAAGTAGGAACTATAGAATCTGGAAGCATTCCAATACAAAATAAGTGAAACGTACTATACAGGGCGTTCAGACACATACAACATTACCGTTTACCTTTTAAGTGAATTTTACATCAAATCTAAAGTGATATTCCAAACATTTTAGTTAAATTTTTGGTATTTTTGGCAGACGAATTAGATTTCAATCTGGACGATAAAAATTTAACTGAGAAATAATAAATTTTATTGACTTTAACAAACATACCTTTACAATCTGATATGTCTAAAAATGGTAATTTTATAAACAATTGAAACCTATTTTACTTATTTCTGTTATTTACAAAATTACTATTAACATCTTTTTACACGAAGCAACATTAATAACTATCATCCGCAGATGTCAGTAGTTATATTATAGATGACTAATAGTAAAACAATATGCAGCATTTACATGAAAAATAAGACGGATGTATTACGAGTACGTCTAACAAGTTTCAAATATTTTTGAGATGGCAGGAGTTTTTGCTTTCGAAAGATATAAATATCTAAACATTGATCAATATAAGTATATTATATGTATTTATTTATAATAAGGAACTAGTAAAGCCAACTACTTGCCAGCTCTTATTAATAACAATGCATTCGTTATGGGTGTTTAGTATTGTTTAATAAGTATGCACCTTCATTCGGCTTTAAAAAATATTGTCACATTGCTAAACCGAAATTTTGATTGCATATTGTAAAGAGATTTTCTTTTTTATTTTTACTTCGTGCATTGCTAAATTCAATATGTCGCAATGTAATATAATAATTTGAGCAAAGAAGTGACTTTGATTCCTATTAAAAATTATACATATTATTTGTTAAAGCCTCTTAGGAAGGAGGATATTGCGAGGATATTATTTTATTTTATTATAGATTATTTTTGGTAAATTTGTTTAAAAGTTTCACTTCGTATCGCGTCATTTATGGTTTTATATATTGAATTCTAAATTAGAGACGTGTTATTTTTAAAACCTTCAAGTGCAATCCCCTTTCCTAGAATGCTTATTTATTATTATACTTCATTTACTTTCTCTAGCGATGTGCTCCTTGGATGCGCGCTGGCAAAATCGTAGGTAGGGAGAAAAAAGCTTATCATACTCTCGACTGTTGTTCATTAAACATACTTTTTCATACAGTACCTGTCAAAAGTTTTGTTCAATTATGAATGGTAGTGCGAGTCGAAAACCAGCGTTGAAGCCTTTAATATGTCTTCAAATATAAATAAACATCTCGTTGATATTTCCAGTAGTAATTGGTGTCAATAACAGCACATTTGAGCAATGCAATTGTAGTAGATAAAATGGTCAATTTTCCCGTGCAATACTGTACCGATTATTCGCTCCTCAGCGATTAAGAGTTTAAGCGAGAGTTGTCTCCTTCCTTTTCTGGCCTAGTGCTGTTCTTTTCTACTTTGCGCCGGTCAAACTGAAGGTCACATCGCTACAGAAACTAAACGAAGTATA